CAGATAAGTGTTTCTGAAGGGCAAAATATTAAGTATTAAATTTTAAACGGCAATCAGTTCCTATTATTCGTATTAAAAGTTTGCAGAAAAGCCTTTAAGTGAAGCTTAATTTACATCTAAAAGTTGATAAAGTGTTTAATACAAAAAATATGCCTAGAAATAAATTAGATCTGAAATTTTCAAATTCATGAGAGCAAACGGGATTACTTTAGATATAGCCTTTAGATATTAGATTATCTTTCGATGCAGGATTGTCCACACTGAATGATGCAGGATTATCCACCTAGACTGAACTGAACAACACACGAAATGAATTTCACCTTAATATTTTTACTATTTTTAATCTAAATGCCATTGTAATCAAACATGGCTTAGCTATACGTATGGAACTTACACTCTATAATTTAGTCCTTCTAAATTTCTTCTAACAGATGGCAATCCTTTAATATTAAGGTAAATTTGATATAATAAAAAAAATAAGTACATGTTTATAAAATTATATTTCTTTGAACGAAAAAAATGAACACGAAGGTGAAGTAATTGTATTTTCTACATTGACTGCTAGATGTCAATATAAATCAATTCAAATTTGATGGAAAAGTGATGATGTGACAAGAAGTTCAGTACCTATACTTTCTTTCACGTTTTATACTTTAATAATAATAAAAAAAAAAAAGTCTAACATATGCCATAAAATGATTGTTACTTTTCAAAAAAAGAAAAATTTATTGAATAAAAATTCTCTTAAGAATAAACACCTGGCTCAAGGATATTTTTGTTTTATTATTTATCTATTTTTCGATTTAATAAAATGCTTATGTACGTTTGATTGTTTAAAGGATTTTGATGGGTTTCTAGAGATGAAAATATTTTCAATTTGCCATTTTTATTTTTTATTTTATGTAATATTTTTGTAGTATTTGTAAAAAAAACATTTCGAGTATATAAATCTATTATAATGTGAGTAAAGAAATGGTTAAACTTTATTATGGAATAGCATAAAAAAACATAATTGTCACGTTTATCGAATGACATCTAAAAATAATTTATGAAGTTCAAAATTCTGTTTTATTAATTGGATTATTTGAACGTAATTTAATAAAAAAAATTTTGAGCAAAAGCATTTTGTATGTTACTTAATTTTATTGTTTTACAATAGAAATAAAGAGGAATGAGCATTCAAGAGAAATAAAAAGGAAACTATTGGCATCTATTTCTGAATAGTAACATACAAGAACGCAACATATATAACCAAATACTAAAGCATATGTGGACATATCAAGCAAATGCAAATGTTTCAGAACAAACTGATTCGCAATATGGTGTTTGCTCCCGGGTATGTACGCAATAGTAACATCCATAAGGATTTGTATGTCCCAGAAGTAAAATATTAAATAAACAACTCTGTCATGGCATATAGCGCGCATTTGGATCAGTAAGTAAATATTGGGAGTCAGGACACTAAAACTGAAACAAATGAGACCTTTCGATTTAGCATAAATTCCTGAAATAGCACTTCCGCATCTTTCTTCACGGAATGTATACACAAAAACACAATAGAGCAAAAAGTAATGGTTAGTCGGTTTCACTATAGTTTTGAGAAGTTATAATCATCCTGTTATGCTATAATCATCCACCAGAAGTTATAATAATCCTGTAAAGCCCCTGCTATTGATAGAACTAACACAACTTTGAGTCCGATTTTCTTAGTCTTTTGATGATTTTTAACAATTATATTCAAAAAAATTAAAAAGAAACTGGGCAACTCGAAGGATAGAAGCGTCTTTAATTTGGTTCCTCCTTTCAGTAATGTAGATTATTTCACGTTTTCAGTCTAAAGACTTATTAAATTCTTGATTAAATACACAATATGGGTGATAATTAGGTTGATCAAACTATGTGGGTTTTAAGCAATTTTTGTATAAATTATTCTTGTAAGAAGTTTACGGCTACAAAATAAAATTCTAAAAATTACAGTCAAAAATTTTCTCTCCATATTCCGTTTTGCCACAGGGAAAAAGCCAAAAAAGCTCATTTTCTTTAGTAAAGCACTTAAACACTTCAACCAATAATAACATTTCTAAATATTATGTACTTGTAGATATTACAAATAAAATTTTTCATATACTTTTAAAAAATTCAATAATAATTCATTAAAAAATTTAAAGATAATCTCATCTAAGAACTGTGTTTCGACTAAAATGCTTTGAGAAATCCCGAATTTTTCGAATTAAATTCTTCTTTTTAATAGAAATGAAATATACGCCACTTTATCTGCTCTGAAATTCGAAAGTTTTAAATCAAATTTTTCTTTTTAATTTCAAAAACTAAAAATCCAATGAATCAGATTTTACGAAAATTCCAACAAAATTTTGTACATAAAATTTTTACAAACATAAATTCCTTAAAGTTACTCTTATCATATACTAGTTCCTTAAAGTCCTCATTTTCTGTAAAAAACTCTTTAATAATTGTATTCCATAACTTTCTTCTGTTTGGTTTTAAAATCATAAAAAATAATATTCCAAAAGAACCAAAATCATAAAGTTGTTATTTTTCCAAAAAAAAAAAAGTAAACCAAGTAATAAACTTGACTATGTCTAAAAATTTTTCATTACTATTTTCATTTCGAATAACTTTTTCATACAGGATATTGGTCTTAATAATAATTTACACAATATAACTTAAACCATTTCCAATTTCCTTAATATAAAAAATTCAAACTGAAAAAGAAAAAAATATTGCTTTCAGAAAATTTTTATCTCTGTCACGAACTTTAAACTGGAAAAAAGATAAGAAATATTGTAAAGAAATAAATTTGAATTTAAAAAAAAGTAATAATGAAATTTTATTTTTAATTTTTTATATATTAAGAACGTATTGACTTGCACTTATATCTGTAGAATTTTACTAATAAGAATTTAAGAAGTATGGCAAGAAAAACCATAAATCCTTTTAGTGTTAAACCAGAACTTATGAAAAGCTTTTAAAAAAATATCATTTGCAATTTATGCAATTTAAAATAAAATTTTCTATTGGAACTTACAGCATTGATTCAGTTTATGGCATTTTAAAAACTATGACCTGGTCAAATTCTATTAAAAGTAAATATTTAGGTCCTTATGAGCACTTATATACTTGTATAGATTGTAAATGAAAATATGTGTTCGGTTTATGGAATTCGGAAAATTTGTAGAGAAAATAAGCACAATACATGAAGAATAGAAAGCAACGTCCTAGTAACTGAATGTTATGTAATGATGCTGAATATAGAAGTACAAAATCTTCTGGAATCATTAAGTACGGTTATTCCAATTGTAACCCGTTATTCCAATAAATCAGTTGATTCAACAGCGTATAGTCAAAATCAGTTAACTCAGCAGCGTGTGTTCAGTGTCGTTTATAATTTAAAAAGGTTCCTGTTTGCTTAATTTGGGGGTCAAATATGTATGATATTACCCCGTATTGAGTTATGATGCCTAATTGCAGCTCTTTAATATTAACTTAAAATTTAATATTGTAATTTCTAATAAATATTAGCCGATATGTCACAGTATATAGCATATTTTTTCAAGAGTAATAAGTGTTTTAGCAAATTTATAAAGAATAAATGAGTATAACACATACATTGCAATATTTGCAAATGTCATATGGTGTAAACTTTGTCATTTTAAGAATTCAATTGCAAAATTTAAGTGAATACATAAAAAAATTTATTTAAAAAGTACTTTAAAATTACGTCACTATAAAAATTATTTGACATAAAAGAGAAAATATTTTAAAAGTAAGAGAAATTCAATGAAATTTTAGTGGAAAAAAAATGTGAGAACAGTTTTTCTTTTTATCAATGCATATTTTTATTTGAGAGCAAAAATGTTCATTTTTACAGAATTGAGAGATTTTTTTGGTTTAAGTGATGTAAATGTACTGTACAATAATGAAAAAATCATTGTGTATAATGAAATTGTTAAGCAGTTGGATTTTTCTGTAAATCTATACAAATACAGATGAGAAGTTCTGTTATTTTACATGCCATACTTTACAGAAATTTCATCTTCTCTTTCATTTTAATTTTTTCGGTATAGTTCTCTTAATCTCAATACTGAGTAATCTGCAAGAAAATTTTCTGCTTATTTTTATATGAGTACACTGTACTAGAATACAAATATTCTAGCATATTATATTTTAGCAGATACACATTGTTTAAAAAGAGAACAACATTTTTATCATCTCTTTAAAAATAGTATAATGTTAGATTGAGTGTTGAATAAATACTGTGTACATGAACGTGACATTGATAATAATTTCTGTTCAAATTTAGAGATGCTATATAAGAAAAGTTTTCTTTATACAGAATATCGAGGACACTGTAATAGTTTTATTTTCTTGTTTTTCTTTTTTTTTTGTTTCTGAGCTGAGATAATGATTGAGAAGAACAAAAAAAAAATCATCACACGACGGCACAGATATAATATGAAAATGGGAAAGGTAAGGTAATGAAAAAATATTGTATAGTGAGTTTATTTTTTATTTCGCGTACATTTTTCGGTCGGTATACAGTTTCTCTGCATATATTTTTATAATAATAAAAATTGTTTTACATTTTATGTACTCTAACGAATAATTTCTCTTTTGTGTTCGTCGATTCGAGAGGAAATTGAAAACACTTGACTGGACCAATTTTCTAATTGCTATTGTTGTTTTTTTTTTCTGTTTTTTTTTTTGCTTTTATTTTTCGTTGGAATATTTTGCTGTTCATGGAGTATCAGTTATCCTTTTTTCGGATTCTGTTCTATAAAGAAAAATGTTATCAGAAAAACTGTTTTATATTTTTATTGTTTTTTTGTTTGTGTAGTCTTGTATATTTTCGTACTAAGGGAATATGTATAGAGTTCTGAATTGAATTGGGTAAAATGTAAGCGAACGAAAGAAGATTTTCGTGTGGAAGAATTTTTTTTTTTTTCAGTTAATCTGTAGAATTCATTCAGTGAAGATGTGTATCGATAAATATTACAATTTTAATTTTTTATTTTTTATTATTTTTATATAAATTTTTTTTTCAAGCATCATTTCTGTTAATCCATTTATTTTTGAATTAAAGGCAATATAGTGTCGTTTAAAATTTTGTTTTTTTACTATAACAAGGACGAAAAATAATTAATAAATATTTGAATAATTTAATTGTGTAAAAAAATGTGTGTAACAATTAATAAATAAAATAATTTAAATGTAAGTTTATTAAGGATTCGGAAATGGCATTATAAAAATAGTTTTGGAATTTTATATTTTATTAAAAATATGAATGAAATTTGATGAAACTAAAACAACAGATGCAAAATTAACGTTTGTAAAAATATTAACAATTTTTTTTATATTTTTGTTTTATATTTCTTGTGTATTAAAACAATTACTTTAAGGATTAATAAATGGAAAATATTCTCTTCTCATAAAATTTCAAAATAAATATTAATGTTTTATTAGAGTACATGTTTATTAGGTACTATAAATAAAATTAAAAGCTGGTGATTAGAGGTTTCTTAAGAACTCCTTCGTTTTCATCTTAATATTTGATTTTTAGTTGAAAATCTTAATATTTTTTTTAAATTAAATTTTTAACTTTTATTTCATAAAAATTATATTATTTATGATTTTCTTATAAATTCCGCCACACCCATACATATATATTATGTATATATTAAATGTAATGAAAAAAAGGGAACAAAAGTATAAAATGAAAGAAAACATTAAAATCTTATTTATATGTAAATATTAAATGAAAATAAATTTAAATGAAATATTTGAAAAATTTGCTATATATAAAAAGTTTTTGAAAAAAATTTCCTTAAATTTTATAATATTACATTACATGTACAATATATGTATATATATATATCCCTAGAAATGAATTTATACAAATATACAAAATATTTTGTATTATATTCTTTTGTGAATTAGATATCTTATTACATTTTTAATAAAATATTGTATATGTTAGTATATATAACATGTAAATATTTTATATAATATAAAAATGAAATAAAGATAGCAAATAAATGTTACAATTTAAAGTAATCCACAATGTATATATACAAGAATTTATAATATATATATATATATGTATAGGTATATATATAAACCTATAAAAATGACATTAAGACTTTAAAGAATATATAAAAGAAAAGAAACAATGGAAATATTTAACATTTATGATGAAAAATATTTAGGAGATCCTTAAAATAAGTTCAAAAAGTAAATTTTTTAAAATAAAAGTATATATATATATGTATATTATGTATGTATATGTATAAAATTAGAGAATTTAAAATGTCATTTAAAGGAGGAAGTGAATAAAGCAGAAAAATATTTATATGGAGTATACTTGGTAATAATTTCTATTATTAAATTTTTATATTAAATTTTTTTTAGATCCCCACTGTTTTCTTTCTTTATCTAGTATAGGCTTAAATTCATATTTCCATAGCATATTACGAAAATTTGACAAATTTCTTATCATATTTCGAATTTACAAACAAAATATTTCAGTACCAAAATCTTGTTTTTCAATATAAAATCATTAATTTTTCCGATTTTTCCGAATACAATTTTCAAAAGGTTTCTTTAACTTTGTTACATAAAGATAAATTCCATAATAATAGCAATTTTATCTTTTTGAAATTAAAATAGAAAATTTCATTTAAATTCATATTAAATTTGTTGAAAAATTCTTTGAAATTTTTTAAAGTAAAATTTAAATTAAATAATGAAATTATTTTCATTCATTTTTTTCTTTCTACAATTTAAACTGTTTTATACATAATTTAATATTATACATCAACAATATCAATATAGTATTACATACCTATTATATACTTACATATTACATGCATTTTTATATGAATAAATGATTTTTTTTCTTCTTTTTCTTTAATATTGTCTAGTTGAGATTTACTATGATATTATAAAGAATTTTATTTTAACTATGGTATGTAAAAAAGAAAAGAGAGAAAAAAAAACTAGAAATTATATTATAAATTTAAAATAAGTACAAGTATGTATAATGTATGTGAATGTATACATATAGCTTATAAAATTATTACGTACATTATGTATACATAGAATATATATAATTGTATTTAAATAATCCATAATATAGTATGTGTATGTAATATTATTCTGGATATTATAAGAATTTCAAATAGACTCGTTTCTAGTTTTGCTTTTATAGAGCACATATAGGAAATACTCTTTAAATATAGCACATTCATATATATGCTATATTAAGAAATTTGTAAGCTAAAACCACAAAAAAAAAAAAAATGAAAAAAAAAATTATTTTTCACAAATTTCTTGTAAAATAGACACTCTCTTTTATTTATATATATATATACAGATATAAATTTTATAAAAATGTGATTTAAAATATTGTTGATAGAGATAAGTATAAAAATAATATATAGGGCACAAGTATAATATGTATAAAAATATATATAATAAATGAAAATAGAAAAAAAAACGAAATTCAAAATTGGAACTTTAAGTAATAAAATTTGCAATAAATATTTTATTAGAAGAGAATTTTATAATAATGAAAACCATTTATACAAGCATATCCTTATATATAAGGATATTGAATATTTTTTTTAAAACGAAAATTTTTATTATTTTAAATCGAAATGAAAAACAAAGAGAAAGTATTATCCATTGAATATGTCCATTACAATTTTCTATTTTAGTTGCTGTAATAGAAAAGATTTTTAAAATAGAATTCATTTTTTATTTAAATCGAAAAATTGAATAAATAATTTTCATTTCCGAAAGTTTCAATATTTTTGAAAGATTCTTCTTATTTATTCTTACAGGTATTTTAAAAAAAGACTAATATTTTCTTTTTAAAATACAAAAAAAAAATTACAAAACAATCTACATTCTATGCCATTCATATGTACTTTTAATACGAGAAAAAATTTTTTCACATATACTTTGAAAAAATATTAATAATAGTGTTATGTGTATAACTATAAATATAGAATTTTCAATTTAAAATAAATATAAAAATTATTGAAATGTAAATTTAATTTTTAATATTTACAATTCTCATAAGTAATTACAAAATACAAAAAAATAATTCCAGGAAAAGAGTAGAACAATGAGAGACTTTGCGTATGTATATGTGCGTTTTAATATAAAACAAAATTAAATTACAGTGTAATGAGAATTTAATTTAAAAACAATATAAAAAAAATAAATTAAAAATTAAAATGAATGAATTATTTAAAATTTTTATTTAAATATATTAATCATGCATTTATAATATTATTAATATAATATATAATTAAAAAAAAAATATAATAAATAGTAATAATGAATTTATGGATTTATGTCTATTTAACAGCACTATTAGGTATGTATTCATACTCAGTATTTTTCATTTATACATTATGTACATAAAAATATTTTATTTTATAATAAATGACGACAGGACCTAAGTAACATTTTAATTTTCTCGAGAATAAACATTAATAATTATTCAGCTCTTTATATTCGAAATTTCATCTTTTAAAAATTATAAAATGAAGAGAAGACTAATAGACAAAAGAGGAGTTTTACAGGTGAAAGAAGAGTGAATTGACTCCCATTTCATTTATTAGTCCTGTATTAATTAAGCAAACGAAAATATTCGCAAATTTTCAAGGCCTAAAAGCTTTAAATAGAAATTATTTTGTAAAGCGTAAATCAAAGTAAGATAAAAGACCAAGAACTTTACGATAGATAAAAGTTTGCAATTGTAACACTAAAATGAGCTAAATAATAAAAGCAACTGATCTTTTTTCATTTGTAATATAAACTTTCTTAAATATTTTATTTGTAGATTTTTAGATTTGCATAACCGCGATAACAAAGCACCGCGAACGAGCATAAGGATCTATTATGCGAGGCAATCAATACCTTCTCTGAGTGCAAGGTATTCCATACAACACCCGATTGAGATTTATCTTCCTGATGAACTCGACCACTTCGTGAGACCGTAAGTCCGCGCTGTGAGAGCAAAACCTTCTATTAGTTCGCTTCTTCTGCGAGCGAAAACAAATTTTCATAGAAGGTGTACTGAAGTCTCCTCATATAAAATGATATAAATCGAGTGATATCATGACTCGTTATTGGTTACTGTGGGATGTTGGGGTAAAAGTCAATGGATAATTCAACGTGCTGATTAAGAAAGGATGAGCACACTTTTTCTTGGACCGGAGCCTTTTGGCTCAAATAAAATCCTGGTGCAGCTCAAGAAAATAATTCAGAAGCGAAGGTCAAAAATGTATTGAATCCATCCAGGACTGTAAAAACCTGAAGAGCTTCTGGGCGATTATCACCAGACATGGAGATTCTGCTACGGTACATGGAGATTTCGTGTGGAAGAGGAACAGACTTCGATGCAACTTCCGCTGAAATGTCGAGGCTTAATAAAAAGGAGAAGAAAATATTTGGGCGGTTTCGTATCAGGGGAAAAGGAGCTCCGGGGCATTCGTCTCTGGGAAAATGAAAGCTCCTTCGCTATTTGTTGATAACAAGTGTCAGGCCGTTAGAAGATAATCAAGTTTCGTGATAACATTGTACTATAAAAATCATGCCTAATACTTAGTCAACGGTATAATAGATACTATCGTAGTGTGTTATTGTTCTCTGTCACTCAAATATCGCAAATCTACAATCTACAATAATTCTAAACAATATTAAAAAATGGATTAATAAATGAATTCTCTAAATTTTGCTTTAAATCCAGACTAAAGATTGATCTACTTGTAGGTTCCGGAATACGTTCCATCAATATGTTTTTAAAAAAAAACTGTTATTTATCGTTTTATAATTATGAATTTGAATTAATTTATTTCTCTTGTTCCCTTACTTTATTTTATAGCTACTTTTTGTTAATTACTTTAAAAAATGTTATATAATACTGCTTGTGTATATTTTTGAGAATATTAATTAAATTAAATGTTAAATATGTTTTCATAATATTACTATACATTCTGATATAATTGTGTACATGCATACATGCATTATAAAATAGTTTCTAATATGATTATTATTTTATGTCTATGTTGTAATATAGTAAATAATTTTCTAATAATATAATAAAATAACAAAAATTTATGTTAAAAGATTTATTACAATAATTTTAAAAATAATATTATTGTAATTGAACATTTTATTTCTGTAATTATATTTACATGTGTATCTAAGCATTATAAATCAAAGTACATAAATAGTAACAGCATACTCGTATAACAAATTGTACTATTATGTACCTAGATTTTAATGTATAGAATAATTAGGAAATTTTTTGATAAATAATTATTATGTATTATGTAAAATAATAATTAATTTCCTATAAAATTGTATTGAAAGGGATAACATAATTCGATTATATGTGTATGTATGTATGTATACATGTATGAACAATTAAAATTTTAATGATACGCATTAGTTAAAATATAAATGAAAAAAAAATTATTTTATTTAAATAAATTGACTGTAAAATGGAGGTAATAGGGTCTTTAAAAGTATTGAATAGAGATTATGACTGTATACACTTTCGAACTAGAAATTCAAGGCAAATTAAACTAGAAATCACGTTATATGTTCAGTGTAGAAAACTTACAACTTTAACTCTTCGTAAAAATTATTTCGTCTTTTGAAACAAGCGTATGAATTCGTAAACATAGTTTAGAGCGTAATTTAATTCAACCACTTAGACTTTTTAGTGTGGTTCGAATTTTTTTTTTAAATTTTTGGCATATGTTACTTGCGTAGCTGTAATAATCAGTTTTATAGAAATCTTTTAAATTTTGAGGCTTGATATTTAAAACATAACGTGGGAAATCTTAGTCCAGCAAATAAAACGTTCACTAAAAATGTAAAGAAATTATAAAAAAGATGTTGTTTAAGAAATAGTCGTAATAAATTCGTCCTAAAATTTACTAGTAAATGAAAATTCCAAAATTTTCTAGCATAAGAGTACAACGCTTTGTTAATAAAGCCAGGATACAGTAAACATAATAAAGCACGTACTTAGCAGGAAAAGCCAGTTTAATACGAAAAATAAAATGAAGTTTTAAAAATTTATTTTTCGTTCAACAGCCTCTAATATGCTTATTTCTTTTTATCAGAATCCGAACAACACAATATTTTTATTTGAAATTTATTAAATTTTTAAAATTTGGAGCTGAACTATAACCAAAAGAACTATTAAAACATGCTAAATTACTATTAATGTGAGAAAAACGAATTACAAAATTATACTGTGAATCATATAAGCCCCGTAAGATATGCAATTTTTAATTTGTTACAGAACATTTATTTAAAATTTCTATAAAATTCATTGGGAATCGTTAGGTTTTGGATATTTTTAAAAGATGTGGAAATACTAATTTCTAAAACGAATTTTAATATATGTAAACGGTGCACTATTACTCCGGTTTTAAAAATCCACAAATCTACAAAAAAACATATGGAACAATAAAAAATTGAAAAAAATAATATACCGTTGATCCAGTATACAACTCGATATTTGGGCTTAATATTTCGGAGTTGTTTTATTCTACCTGTAGTAATTTCATTTTAATGGAGAAACTTTCGTTGCTCTACTCTTTAAATAAGGAAATTGAAGTACCCGAAAATGATAACACATTAAAACAAAATCTAATTCCAACTTACTTTCACAACTATATTGGAAGTCGTTCATATGATGATTGCATCATATCTGATTATATAAATTTTCAAAGTTATTATACAACATCCTAAAATGAATGAAATATATATTTGTAAATTGTCACTCCTTTTAACAGTACATTTTTATAACAATTTCCTGATTGTTATAAAATATATAGAACAAATATTACAAAATACTAAATTTTAGTATTTCCGGTTATACTTTCATAATATTATGTAATTTTCTGTATTGACAATATTTTTTACATCAATGAGCACAAATACATTTTTATTACACCATTTATGTTGTTATGATTATCGTGTGAACCTACTATACACTGATAAAAATTTCCGATCATACTGGGTTATGTTGAATTGTTAAATTTTATTTTATGTTTGTATTTATAAGGTGATGTATATGTATACAGTACATGTATATATATATTTATAACCTTTTATAAACTCATGATTTGTCTATGCATACATAAAAAATAATTCCCTTTTTTTAAGTAGAAATTACAACATAATTTGTTTTGTAGGATGCAACATTTATTTTTATAGTCGCAAGCTTTATAACGAAGATTTTATTTCACAAAATTTAAGGATGAGTTTTGTACTAAATAAATGAATAAATAAGTTCGTTCAATAAATTTAAATTATGCTTGCTTATACATATATAATTTTGAACGGGTTTTGTATATAATTAAATAATAATGTTTATTTTAAATATATTAAGCCTGATAAATTAAAATTAATTAAGAGTATTTATTACAAATCTAATAAAATTTTATTTACAAGTACAGATGTAGGAATCTTTAAAATCATATGGCAATGATAAGTGCTCAATATTATTTTGAAGCGGAACAATTCTTAAATTAATAATTATTGAATTTTTATAAATATTTTGTATAATAACCTTTGGTATTCCTTTAAATTAATGAAAATATAATAAAGAAATCCTTTGAATTCATTAGAAGAACTCATTAAAATGCAATAAAATAATTTTCTTGTTATGATCTTTGAAATTCCTAAGATATAATATACACCTAGACCTACAGTATATAGATTTTTCACTAGTGACATTTTAATACAATTTATATTTAATATGATTTAGTGTATTAAGAAAAGTGTAGTATTTAATAACATGGACGTATAAGAACCACACAATTTAATAACCTAAATGTAAAATATACGGTCAAGGGAAACTCATATGTTCAAGAAACATCTCGCTCATATGTACCTTTTTGGAGTATAATTCAATTTTAGTATTAATTCAATCTTGTAGATGCAAAATATTCTTATAATTAAAATGCAAAAGAACTCTTAAAACAGAACATGCTATTGGTAACAAAGTCAACAAAAAACTTCAAAAAATTAATTGCGGTTTAGAGCCTTTTAGAAAGTCCTGTGACAGTGTTGTTGGAAATGCAAAATACTTTCTGGAACCGCACAGTTCTTAAAGACAGTTTATATAGTTTCGAAGATATTACTACTGTCCATAGTTATAGCCCTTCACTGGTATGGGATTTGATCTTACATTATTTATACTACCAAAGCAACGTAATCTTCTATCTGGTAACAGAACCTAAACTTCAGGTGATTTAGCTTATTAATTCTAAAGGAGAAATATAAAAACAGAAACCCGTTACAATAGCTTAATAAGGAAATTTGGATCGGAATAAAACGAATGAAGTT